CATATCTTTAATGACTTGAATATAAGTCATATCAACACATTTCTTCTCGAGAATTTTCTAAAGGATATCTCTTAGAACCTTATCGTAAGCTTTTTCTAAATCAATAAAAATCAAATGTAGATTTTCCTTATTATCTCTGAACTTCTCCATCAAACTTCTCAATAAATGTATAACTTCCATAGTAGATCTGTCAATCATAAATCCAATTTGATTATGAGAAATCTTTGTAATACGTCTTAACCTATGCTCAATTACCCTTTCTCATAATTTTAAAGTATGACACATCAACTTAATTTCTCTATAATTTGCACACTCTTGTGCATCCCCTTTATTCTTAAAAATGGGGACCAATATACTTTTTCTTCACTTCTCAGACATCTTTTTAGTTTTTAAAATGATATTAAAGAGTTTAGTAAGCCAAGAAAACCCCAAGTCTCCTAAACATTTCCATACTTCAATTGGGATATCATCAGGTCCTATAAACTTTCCACCCTTGATTTTCTTATTTTCTTTAAAGCCCCCTCACCCTCAACTTCTTTTTTACTAATGCGACGGTAAAAATGAAAATTTATATTATTATTAACGATATTAAGATTACTAAGGTCGATCGTATTTTTAGAAACTTCATTAAAAAGTTTATCAAAATAACTCACCCACCTATGTTGAATATTTTTTTCTAAGAAAAACACTTTTTGATTTTTATTTTTAATACACTTTACTTGAGTTCATTTTTTTCTTTTCTTTTCTCTTTCTTTGGCTAGTTTATACATATATTTTTCACCCTCCTTAGTATCTAATCTATTATAAAGATCATTAAAAACAGAATTTTTAGCGTCACATATTGTTCTTTTAGATTTCCTGTGGACCGTTTGATATTTTTCTAGTTTTTTAAGCTTTTATATTTAAACCAACTTTTATAACATAACTTCTTATAATTTATCTTTTTTTCCACATTATTATTCCACCACAAACTATTTTTATTCATGGAAACTTTTTCTTTTGATTCTTCAAGTACATCTTTTGCTACTTGTTTAATTGTGTTTGTTACTTTATCCCATATAGCGTTTGTTTCCTCATGAGCATCCCAAATTTTAAAATCTTGAATTTTACTCATAAAAATAATTTTATTTGTCTTTTAGGTTCCCCCATCTAATTCTACGTGATGAGTCTCGGTATTCTTTATTTTATAACTCTTCATCTTAAAATCTAAAACTAATAAACGATGTTGGGTACTTAAATCCTCACATAGAATGACTTTATAATCTTTACAATCTCAACAATCTCTTCTTCTCATAAGAAAATAATCAATTTATTTTTTATTACATTCATTCTTATAAGTAATAAGATGCTCATCTTTTTTTCTTAAATCAAATATTAGTAATAACAAAATCACATGCTAAAGCAAAATCTAAAATAGCCTTACCTTCTTCATCAGTCACTCCAAAACCGTAGCTACCATGAATGTTTCTAAAATCTTCTACCACTCTACCGACAAGTCCATTTAAATCTCCTCCAATAAAATTTTTTTCTTTATGAGATATCATTTGTATTAAGTCTTCTAAGTCATTCCAGGATTTATCTTTAGACCCTATATCTAAACCTATTTGAGGAGCATAAACACTTATAATATTAAAAATCTTAGTATCAATGATAATCTTAAGAGCTATAATTCTATCTCTAACTCTAATTTTTACAACATTATCTTTCAAACTCTTATCTATAATTACACCTACACCATTTCTAGTGCGACTCTTATCAGAATACCAAAGTTTAAAACCTAAATTATCAATCTCCTTAGCCTTTTCTCCAACCCATTTAATTTTTTGAATAAATAAGATATTAATCTTTCTATGAATCATAATATCAACTAATTCTATAATTTACATTGAAAGGACCTATATTTCAAGATCCTATCCTATTATTAATTTCATTAGTTTTATGGACTAACTTCTTTACCCGCATCCATCTGTAATTTGTGAACCCCTTGCTTATTCGACACTACAGCCGGGAGTCAGTGTAGCGGTCTTTGCACACTTTTCACTGTATTCAGACTATACAGCGCGTCGCTTCCAGGGGACGCCCCAACACTTACACAAAGATCAAAAGGATTCATGTCATGATTTTTTTTCGACAAGTTTACGCTGGTTGTCGACTACCTAGCACAACCCTCCACTTGTCACATCCGGGCTTGGGACCGACAATGGTAGTGTTAAATTTAGGGTTGCAACACGAAGACTTCCCAGGAGGTCACCCATCCTAGTACTATTCTCGCCTAAGCACGCTTAACTGCGGAGTTCCCAGTAGTTCTTTGTTTCCTTTGAATGATACTATAATATATACTTGTGCTTTTTACTATTTTGGGAAAATTCTAGAGTTGTTTTGCTTAAAAAATTTGAAAATTTGTTAGAATTCATGTAAAATATATTAAAACTACTTTATTTAGCTTAGTTCTTGATGGATTTTGATAAATTGTTTTATTTGAGTCTTTTTTGGTTATAAATAGATTTATGAAAATAATTAATCATTGATTATTGAAATAAAATTTATTTTTTCTCATTTTGTTATATGCATGCTATTGGATGTCGATTCTTCGAGCACTTCTCAAGTCTTGATGTTTACTTCAAGGGTGACTTTTTCTATACCTAATAGGATTTGATCTTTCCATTTGGTGATTTTTATCGTTCTTCCTTTTATCAACTTCGTTATGAATATTGAATACTACTTGTTTGTGATTGAAGTGTTGGCAAGGTTTATATGACATTATTTTTTAATGTGTGAATCAGTCTTTTTTGAAAATTTAT